TCATACTGTGTAGATCAAAATGACAGCTTATCAGATTGATATTTTTCATTTGTAAAAGTATATATTAATAGTGTTGCTTAGTAAGTTGTTTTTAAATAATAGCAAACTAAATTAAAATTATAATCCTTAATTAATTTTAACTTTTTAAATTACACATTGAACAATTATATGGCTTAAATAATTAATACTATATTTTATATTTTTCTTTATGGTTATAAATATAATAATGGCAACACTAAATATAGATTACTAATTAATATTTTTAAAATTGTAATAATTATAAAAATAATAGCAAAAATTAAATAAATAATTTTCCATATTCAATTATAATTAAAATTATAAAAATGTTTAAAGTTAAAATATTGTAATGTAATTGGTGCAATTTTCATTTTGTTGATTGTGGGTAGGCTGTCTGTAACAACTATATCTTTAAGACATGTAACACCTCAGTCTCTCCCGTGACCATGGATGCTGTAAAGCATTCGAAACGTCGGGAACCAAAAATCAAAATAAATCCGCGAAATAATCCGAAAAGATAGTTTTATTTAATAAGTCCAGTTTATGTATTGTTTTGGTATAAAATCCTTTAATTTCAGTACTTCAGATGGATATTATAATATAATGAATAACTATGTATTTTTTTATGATTTGATGGTGTTTTATTGGCACGGCAAAACAAAATTACATTAGACTTCGCGGGTTTGATTCCGTTGGATGAATGTTTGACTAACCTTAACCCATACTCAAGACAAAATAAGGTGTTTAATGCCGCCATTGTAAAAGCTGTATTTGTATAGTAGCGGAAAGAAGTATGTCGAGTAATTTATACCCATTATATCTGTCCATAAGAAGTGACTGTAGTAGGCTTAGATATAGAAAATGTACTTAATGCACTATGTAGAACCTTTGTTTTAAATTTTTCTTTGGGTGAGTTTGGGTGTTTGAGTTTACTTAGCGCTTAATTAATTTAAATCACGATATGCGCAGAATATTTGATGTGTAATCAGTAATGTAATTTTCGCGACCTAGATTTTCATATTTTCATTTTAAATTCTAACCTTATAATCGGAGCTCTTGTTACGTTTCAATTGATTTTTAATTAATATCAGGATTTTAGTTGGTATGGTAAATAATAAATTATTTATTTATTTAAAAGTTTTTTCAATAAAATTTAACTTTTTATTAATTTACTTATTATTGGTTTGTAATACAAAATCACTCAGCTAGTTCCATATGATATAGAGCTTTATTGAATATTTGAATGGCTATGCCTTTAATTATATAAGTACAACTAACATTGCTCGCGGCTCCGCCCGCGTTCAAATGACCAAAAAGCAAATTACAGGTTTTACATATTAGTATACCTTTACAATGCAGTTTTTGTATTTTTTCTCAAAAATGAGGTATTTTCCCGCGGTAAAAAGTATCCTATATGTTGATCCGGATAACCAGCTATCATCATACCAAATTTCATCAAAATCTGTCCAGTGGTTTTCTCGTGATGCGGTAACAGACAGACAGACAGACAAAAATTCTAAAAACTATAGATTCGGAATCTGTATCGATAATAATGTCTATTTCAATTAGATTTTCTAAAAAATATTTAATGTACAGATTCGACTTAGTTAGAATTTTATTATATGTATAGATATATTTTATTGGTATACCTACAATAGGGTCAATAGGTATATTTTGAAATTCATGGTTATGCATGAAAATCAATATTCCATTCATTCCTATGTCAATACATGAAGACTGTACTCACTAGCACATTGTATAACCACCACAAAATCGATACGTTAACTAAGCCGTATTTAAACCACAGACAATTACCACCCACGTTCACCCCCAAGGGGGATCGCTAACAGATTTATCAATTATTTGTCTTTGTCAACCCTTAATTACGTTTGCTCGATAGGTAAATACTACGCACTTGTCTTTTATAACTTAATTGAGATTGTCATGATTAAATGTTTTCTTTTTGGGGAATGTTCTTCAAACTTTAATGGGACTGGACTGGCCATGTCTACCGTATACTTGAAGAACTGTGGGCCAACATTACATGCCAAATTTATGGACCACATATGGAGCCCTGAGACAAGGAGGCGACTTCGCGGTACACCACGAACTAGATGACGAGATGAACTGGACAAATTCGATCCAAATTGGCCTATTCTTGCGTAATACCGCAAAACTTGGGAACTTTGAGGGAAGGCCTTTGCCCAGTAGTGGGATAGTGCAGGCTAATAGTAACAGTAAATGTTTTTTTTTAATCTTAAAAGTAAACTTTATTACCTTACAAAAGGTTCCTAATCATTAAAAAAAATGTAGAATACAGTTGTCAACGTCTAACGGTCTATCACTTCAATTCAATAGAATTTTCTTATAATACTTTCTTAGATTTACGCGAATACTTCACATTTTAAATAAAACTATCTTTTCGGATTTTTTCGCGAATTTATTTTGATTTTTGATTCCCGACGTTTCGAATGCTTTACAGCAATCATGGTCACGGGAGAGACTGAGGTGTTTAGATGTCTCTAAGGTATTATATAGTTGTTACAGACTGTCACACGTAGTTGTTACAACGTTCAACGTAGTTGTTACAGAAATACGAAACTTGAAATCAATAATATCGAAATATTTTTAAATTTTAACCTTCACTCAACCCGAATGAATAACCTAAACTATACTGAAGCCTTATATAATTATAGCCTTGGCGGCGGTCGCAAAATAAATAGCGTTTTATTGCCGTGACATCAGGAGACACGACTGTAAAATACTCATAGCATACTCGTAGATACGATGGATATATCATATAACTGATAGCTTAAGTACGTGTGAGTGTCCCGTCAGGTAAAAAGGTCGTCTAATATCTATTAATTATAAAAACATGAGTTTCTTTAATATTGTTTAAATTTTACATTGACTTGTAATTATTAACTGCGTAACTATAATTATATATATATATATATATATATATATATATATATATATATATATATGTATATATATGACTTTGCGAGTTCGTCCCTAAGGGCCTAACGATAGCCAATAAAGGAACTCAACGAGCCTTTTTTGGATTTCAATTAAACTTATTATGATTTTTGAAATTAAACACGTTTTTATCAAAATAGCAAAACAAAAATAGCCTATTATATTGAATATACAAATTAATATTAATAAAGAATTATCTGAATCGGATCAGTAGTTTCAGAATTCACAGATTACCCGTTACATACAATGTAACAAAACAAACTTTACCTCTTTATAATATTAGTATAGAGCTTTAAACGTAAAGATAAGAATTTTTTGGATAGTAAATTTTATTTAATAGTGTGAAATTAATGTTGACTGTCAATTATTAAAAGTTAAAAACGATATGTACTTATTTCATTGCATAATTACTTCACTAAAGTCTTATATATTTACTCTTTTCATATTATTCAATTATATTACTTAATACTTAAACATCTTCTTTATATATATAATTCTTCTGTGAGTGTGTATGTCACTGAACTTCTCTCAAACGACTGGACCGATTTTGATGAAATTTTTTGTGTGTGTTCAAGGGGATCTGGGTATGGTTTAGATTCACAATTTGAATAATAATTTTCATCAAAAAAATTATTAAAAAAAGTTTGAAATTTTCAAATTAAAGACGTGTAGACAGGACAACGTCTGTCGGGTCCGCTAGTAATATATAAAAGTGAGGCCTCCTTTCTTTATTACCTCTAAGATAAACACAGTTTACGTCCCCAGACTCGGGGACAATTCACAATATCGTGTAGTAAAAGCTATAAAAAACTGATACGCGACGGGGAGCTTGTTTATTAAATCATGAAAGTATGTCGACATAATATAAAAATGCTGTATCGATTATACATTATATGATACTTTCTGCGAACTATCCAAAATAGCAAAAGGAACGAATATTTTAATATTAGGTATCTGCTAATATGTAGACTTTAGAAATTTTAGCTACTAACTAGTACCTAATTAAGTATTTTTCCTGTAGATAGAGTTGATAAACTTGATATATGTGATGTTGGACAATCAAAATTCGTACTAGATTAAATATTAGGTAGTCTATACATAATACTTTCTTAGATTTACGCGAATGTTTGACATTTTTAAATAAAACTATCTTTCCGGATTATTTCGCGGATTTATTTTGATTTTTGGTTCCCGACGTTTCGAATGCTTTACAGCATCCATGGTCACGGGAGAGACTGAGGTGTTACATGTCTTAAAGATATAGTTGTTACAGACAGCCTACCCACAATTAACAAAATGAAAATTGCACCAATTACATTACAATATTTTTTAACTTTAAACATTTTTATAAATTTAATTCCATATTCAATTATAATTAAAATTATCTGAATCATTACTAACATGACTACCACTTATATATATTATATATGTATAAGTGGTAGTCATGTTAGTAATGATTCACACATGAAAATATCAGAGGTGCGAGACTCGGGATTTGAACCCGCTTCACTCGGTTGCTCAAGCGAGTGCGTTACTACTGGGCTACCACTGCTCAAGGAATGAATGAATTATATAACATTTAAATTAAATTATTGTCCATGTGTTGTGTCCACTTATATTTCACCGCATAGCCCCGAGCATCGCATTGTCTGCCAATTTGGCTATGAATTTAACACTAACAAGCTAGTATTCTATACAGCGTAGATTTCGAAACTTATGTCTAAAAATGTATCACATAGTTATTTCAAAATTTTATGACATATTGGAGATCTGAATTCTGGCGTTTTAAGTACGGCGTTAAAATGTTTTTATATCTATCTAGCTATCCCAACAAATATTGTCTAGTACAAATTTTAATTGATTTTAAGTGAAGAGCTTACCAAATAACAACATTTAATTTTTATTATTTAGATTCAAATTGTAGATGAAAAATAATCATAAGGTATGCTCAAAGTATAAATAATTTATAGTAGCCTTAATAAAATATAATAATTTCTCAACAGGTATGAGAATGAGAAGAGCGCACTGGTCGTGTCGGTGGTGTCCTGCCAGGGGCTGCCGGGGCGCGAGCCGGCCGGGCCCGACCCCTACGTGAAGCTGCAACTGCTACCGGACAAACAGCATAAGGTCAAGACTCGGTAAGTTACATGTACGGGATATTATACGAATAGCCTGCCCAGTTTGGTCTGCCTTTTTGCTTTTCTTTTTGTTATGTTGAATACCACAAAAATATTGCTTCATATTCAATTTTTCAAACCTTTTAGGCCCTAAAAACTTAAATAATGTTTGAAATATTTAAAATTTATAACTCGAGTCCTAAAATTTTGGGGGTTTCAAACAAAATTTCAAAATTAAGAAAAGGCTCTTAATTTTAGTGTTCTATCTATGTATATACATACATGTATCTGATTGTTGTTTTTTTCGTTTGAAAAACTTTATACAAATTATCAATATATAAACTATGTTATACTTTTAAATATCTTATTAGATAAATTGTGAAGCTAGAAATTAAAGTATCATTCAAAATCTCTTGATTTACGTGTTTCAAATCAAGTAAAAAATAAATTTAGTTAATTGTAAAAGAATTTGAAATATATTCATATTATGTTGAGTATATAATTGTTTTATATTAAGACTTATGAGTGTCTACATAAATAAATAATAATTTTACAGAGTAGTGCGCAAGACTCGCTGCCCCGTGTACGATGAAGACTTTACTTTCTATGGCATCGCCCCGCACCAACTCTCTGCGATCACTCTACACTTCGTCGTCTTGAGCTTTGATAGGTTGGTAATATAATATTAATTTAAATAAATATTATTTATGTATTTTTATGTAAATGTGTACAATACTTCTTTCAAAAAAATATTAGTTCCAATTGTACACTTTAAAAGTAAATGTTAGTTTTTAAAAAGTTTAATTGATTCGAACTCACTTACGTTTACGTGTAAAGTATGATGAAAGTGTTGATGTGGTACACTTAGTATTTATTTTATCTCTGGGGTGATCGTTTATAATATCTTATTTCAGAACCTATAAATGAATAACTGTGCCCGAGAATATTAAAAGTTTTTTTAAGAAAAGTAATTTAATAATTAATTATAATAATTAACACGTATTAATAAAAATATGTTTAGTATTTTAATATATATGAACGAGTGTGCCCCGCAGATACTCGCGCGACGAGATCATCGGCGAGGTGGTGTCGCCGCTGTCGGCGCTGGCGCTGCACAGCGGCGAGCCCATGGCGCTGTGCCGCGAGATACAGCCGCGCAGTCTCAAGGTACGCCCGGCGCCGACCTGCCCCGAACCGGTCCGAACGGACCCGAACTGCCCCAAAACCCTTATACCCTTATGTTAGCCTTTTATACCTAAAACTGCGCGTGTAAAAGACGCCTTGTATTTTATCCTTTTTTTTCATATCGCTGTATATTTAATATCTCGATAATTATAAATATCTTTTAAATTGAAGTAATTTAATAAGTAAAAATAAATAATGAAATATACATTGAGCCTACCTTTGAAGTCAACACGTACTTATATATGTAATTATTACTGAATAATGTATGTATAGTCTATACATGAGACATGAGGTATGCCCCGGTTGATGGGAGCGGTGTGCGTGTGGTGTGCAGATGCGCAGCGTGGGGCGCGGCGAGGTGCTGGTGTCGCTGTGCTGGCAGCCCGCCGCCGCGCGCCTCACCGTGGTGCTGCTGAAGGCGCGCAACCTGCCCAAGATGGACGTCACCGGCCTCGCCGACCCGTACGTCGTGACCACACATACACACCAACATATTAAACATATGATTTTATAAATTAAATATTAATATAATTTAATAAAGGTTTTGGGACCACAGTGAATTACGGAAATTAAGTGAAGCAACTTTAAATCCCGGGTTTCGTACCTTTGATAGTCTCATTTCCGACATGATTACACTTTCTTGCGGTGAAGGAAAACATTATGAGAAAACCTATGTGTCTGAGCGAACTTAGTAAGTTTTCGAAAGACATGTGGAGTCCGCCAACCTACTGAAACTTTATCAATTTATCATTATAGCGATATTAATAGGTTAAGAGTTGCTTACTATAATTAATTGTTGATTCTAAGAGACCTTCAAAACGAAAAATAAATTAAACATTTATACTTAGGTACCTATAAAAAATGTACATTAACTTTATACTTAATCACGATATTAAAGTCGCAACAATTGTCGCCAACGAACAATAAAGCTATTGAAATTAAAAGATCAATAGTTTCAATGAAATCATTTTCCTAGTATTACAAATGAAAGTTAAACAGAAATAGCCTAGGCTTACTCATAATGACTATTACAATTATATTCAAATAAATATATAGAAACTTTAATATAATATATAAAAATATAGGTACACATTTTGTAACAAGTAGATCTTCAAAAAGTGGCGTCGACATGTGACTTTAAGTCATGTCAAAAAATAAAATTCAAATATCGAAAGTTCTGTCTAAACATAAATTCGAACTTACGCACATAACATAAAGTACTTTTTTTAATTTTATCATCCGAAAAAAGCGCACGATTTCGAATAGTACTTTTCTTTTTGAAGACACTTTTGAGACGCTAATCGTATATTTACTTGAGTTTTTGTATATAATTATATAAAATCACACTTAATACCATCAGATACGTAAAAATGTATCTGCTGTACAACGGACAACGCATCGCCAAGAAGAAGACGCACGTGAAGAAGCGCACGCTCAACCCGGTGTTCAACGAGTCGTTCGTGTTCGAGGTGCCGGCCGCGCCCAACGCCGCGCTCGACCACGTCGCGCTCGAGCTGCTCGTGCTCGACTGGGACCGCGTCACTAAGAACGAGGTATGTACCCTCTACCTGTCTCTCTCTACGGTCTACCTCTGTCTCTTTCTCTATACAGCATAGCTATTGTAACAGTGATGTGCCGAGCTCGACAGAGACCGCGTCACTAAGAAAGAGGTATGTACCCTCTATCTGTCACTTTTTAAATTCTACCTTTATCTCTTTCTCTCACTACAGCATAGCTACAGTAATAGTGATGTGTCGTACCCAACTGAGATCGCGTCACTAAAAACGAGAGCTCTTCCCGTGTCTTTTTACATTTTCCTTTCCTACATGGAATAATAATAATACTGTCTCATGCTCTATTTGAGCGTGTCACTGAGAACGAAGAGCTACCATTTTAACTGTCTATCTTTCTTTTACCATGTCAACTATAGTGCAAGATACATCTCTCTCTATTCTCTCGCACTCTCTTTTCCCTCACTGTTATATCTATCATCTCATACAATGTAACGAAACGACTCCGATACGATCAAAGAGATATAAAGCGATTAACCGATGGTAGCATGTCCTCTCAGATGTAAATTGTAAAACATAGATATTAGAGCTGCAACTAAGAATTTTTTGATAGACTAATAAATCAACTACTTTTTCAACCCACTCTAGACACGAATCCAAAACATCTTTGCAATCAACGATATGAACGTTTCCATACGACATTTACAGTTTTCTCAGTTAAATGTGTCAAGCGCAATTAAAACGCGCTGTAAACGATACAATGCTCGTGCGTTTTTCTTTGTACAGAGTGGATCCAATTGAGTCGCTACAAAGAACTTTAAGAGTTTAGACCCACTTGTCACGAGCGCCGTTTGAAGCTTTGTTGTTGAGTGTACGTTTAAAAGTTTTAACATTTTTCTCTTGTTTGACGCATTTTTCCCTAGGTAAGTTTTGTATCATATAAAGTAACTTCATTTTCCGCTCTCCTTTTTCTCTTTTCTGCCAAGAAATTTTTAGTAATAGCCGGGAGTTGGAAAGTTGGTGGTGTTTCACTCCTGTGCTTCAAAGAGCGTGTCGCGTAGGTCCTTGGTCTGGTCTCTCACCGCGAGTGTCGAACTGTCATCCCATCGAAGTATGAAAGCGCACGTTGTGTCTGCTCGTACACGCGCTGCACTATAATATCTCCTGCACGGTTAGTCCCCATGAGATTGGTCGCCGTGGCCGGATTGATGGTATCGATCAGGAGGACATTATAATTTATGTATACAGGTAATAAAATTGAAGTGTCTGTTTTACAGCGTTTTACTAAATGCATATGAAATTATATACGGTATTTATAAGAAAAACAAAGATAGCTGATGTTACAGGAAGTAACAAAGGCTACTTTTATTTTAGAAAAAGAATTAGGGTTCCGCTGAAAAAAATTAAAAACGTGCCTATATTAAATAAATATTTAAATAATAATGTAATCCTCGTGGTATCCACAGGTGATCGGCCGCCTGGAGCTGGGCGCGGAGGGCGCGGGCACGGCGCGGCACCACTGGCGCGAGGTGCAGGCCGCGCCGCGCCGCCAGATCGCGGACTGGCACAAGCTGAAGGAGTGAACCTCGACCACCCGCCCGCCCCCCGCGACCCCCGCCCCCCGCGACCCCCCACCCCCTCGCCGCCGCCCCGCAGGTACCAGGCTATCATAACTACTGAAGATACAGCGGTATGAGATACATACTCATTACATCTTTATTTATTAAATTTTTCTTACTGTGACACCATGTATAGAAGATTATCGTGGTTTTTTTTATATATTTTTTATTTTTGACTCTTCAAAAATGAAAAATATAAAAAAAAAACCATCACCTCGTAAGTGATTCTAACAGAGACCGCACAATGAAACCCGCAGTAGTTGTATATTATATTTTTTCTATAATACTTTCTAAATTATGACTTCATTTCTCATAATATGTATATGTTATTGCAAATAAACATTAGATAAAGTGTCATCTTTTCATAGGCATTATACAAATATAAGAAACGTTTCTTTCTATATGAAACTTTCATTTAAACTTATTTTTATTCAATAGCTACAGCAAAAATGTTTAGCTTTTCTAAAAAAACTATCATTCAAATATAAGTGCTTGCAACACTATAATTTAAAGTAAGTACCTAATATGTAGAACAGTCTGTCACGTCATAGCTTCATCACATATTATACTAAGTACATAAAGTTATTTGTAAACATAGAAAAAAAGAATATCGCAGTTATTATTTATCAACCCTAGTCACCTTTCTTTTCTTATTTTGTAAAATTTGAATTTAGAAAAAAATATTTTCAAACATAACATGTCATTGAAATGTCATAACGAATGATTAAATCGATTACAAGCAAAGATTTATATCAGTAGATGTGCCCTGCGTCTAAAATACACATTCGTAATTTATTTATCTATACGTGTGTTTATATCGTAATTTATGTTATAAAATATACATAAACATAAAAACGTAACATCTTAACATCTCTTACTTTTTTGGAATTCCTCTAAATATTAGAATATTTACGAAAGGTATAAAAAGTGAGTTTTATATACAACTTATAATTGTCACTAGCATGTTACACACTGCAGTCTAAAAGGCGGTAGAGACTAAGACACTATACACGGTACACTCAGGTAGTTTTCCAATTACAGCACTAAAATTTATCATGCGGCATAATGCTCAACTTCGAGTTTTTCAACTACAGCAACTCTCCGCACAGTCGAATACTTTGAAAAGCACTTGCTTTGGCGTGACCAACCAAATCAGTAGCAGAAAATATAAGAAGTGTTTTTTCGCGTTTTTCGTGTTTGTGCGCCAAAGTGCGGCATTATGCTCTGTAATTGGAAAACACGGTCAGTGTATACATACATCGAGTGTGCTGTGTATAGGGTTTTAGTCTAACCGGCCTTAAGAACGACTGATGTAGGATGATAATAAGTATTGGAGGCGAGGGCAGATCTAGAGATCTCAATTTTCTATACAAGTATTAATCAAAGGGCCAAATGTTCATTGCAAATTGTATAAGCATACAGCGTATAATAATCAAAATATGGAAATAAATATTAAGCGAGGCATGCAATATTAAAAATTGGGTACGTGGGATATAAGTAGCCAAAGTCCAGAAGCAGGTTAACTCTTTATTTAGAAATACTTAGTAGTGATATTTTGTATTAGATAGATAAATTTTTTTCATCAACAATTTAGGATACTTGTCACTCTCATGTTGGTTTACATTTGGAACGCACATGTACCATGTCCCTTAGTCGTGTCTCAAAATTAGATATTAATGTGAAACTCACGTTTAAACGAAATATAACTTGATTAAATGTTCGAGCGGTATTTATTTATTACGCCTTCAACCAGTTTTTTTTTAATAAATATGTAAAAGGCAGAATGAAGAAAGCCAACCACTAATCTTTAGATATGCAGATTAAACACAAAAAAATACATACAGACAAACATAGAACCTCCTCCTTTTTGGAAGTCGGTTAAAAACTAACGTTTAACGAAAAAGAAAACTTAATAACACCACACGCGTAATGAAAAAATATTGCATTAGTGTATATCGCTCTATTTTGATTATAATAAATTAACATATCTAATTATAAGACACACGATTAAAATACAAAGGTCCTACTAGATATGTATATATAATTATATATTTTTTAATAAAGTTTTATTTTATTAAATAATTGGCGAGCTTTATTTAATATTTATTGATGATTTACTGTTTTATTAATATCTAAAATAAATTGTAGATAGCCTACAGAAATATTGAAGTACCCAAAAACGTGAACTAACACTTTCGCCCTAATTTTTGATGTCACCAATCTATTAAGTATAGTTATGATAATTAATAATTATTAATTAGTGATCGGTGTAATATCTAAATTGAAAAAATATATAAATATAACTATATGTCATCGTTTATAAGAGATGATTGTTTTTTTTTAATAATTTCAAAGCACCAGCAATGGAAAGATTTTTTTCTAAAAAGAAATGCAGACAGACATCTTTAAAGATTAAAGAACATCCAGTTAAAAGATAAAAAAAATATTGTAAATTTTCATATTTATGGATTAGGCTTCGAAAGCCGAAATATTAATCGTTTATTTGTGTTAAAACTAACTTTGTATAAGTATGTTTAGATTAAGCGTAAAATTTAACATCAGTTGGGCTATCGGGACTCGGGACTCGGGACTCGGGAGGCTTAGTGGAGGCAAAGTGGAGATAGCTTGAGTGATGGTAAATCAGTAAATACTCATACAGATTAGTTCAAATTTTAAGTTAAAATTCTTAAAATGGATAGGAGATATAAATCTATTTTATACTTGTAGCCGTACAGTAGGATATAATCGGCTCTCGACGAGGCTTGGAGCTTGTAGTCACGTGTACCTCATAGTCGCATCCCATAGCTTCTGTACCCGGTTTCTTCTAAATGAATGGGGGCTGACTACCGAAATATGGATATTACTGGAATTGATTTGAATAATATGTTTGTTTTAGAATATTGCTGGAGTTTAGGTAAAACTATAGATACGATATAAAAAATGACAACACCCAATTATTGACTAAGTTAGGAAAAGCTTCTAAAATGGAAGGTCCTAAATAAGTCTAATCATATTAAATAAAACTATCATTAATAATATTTAAATGCTATTTTAAATAAAACTATCTTTTCGGATTTTTTCGCTGATTTATTTTGATGTTTGGTTCCCCAATGTTTTACAGCAATCATGGTTACAGGAGACTCCGGAAGAAATCCGAAAATATAGTTTTATTTAAAAAAAGTCAAATATTCGCGTAAATCTAAGAAAGTATTAAGCCTAACCATATTTCGGTATTCGGCGAACATTTGGTACATTAGAAATTGTCACAATATCACGCATCTTACTTACAGTAGTCATAGATTTTCAACTTATTGAAGTTACTCTTATTGTAGCGACAATAAGGATAGTGTTACATTAAGAAATATCGACTAAGAATATTTAGTTGTTTTCAAACTCTTCTTTCTTTGTCAAACCCTTCAGTAGAAACGAGAAAATTGACTAATATAAGTTTATATTCTTGATCGTAGTATTTGTAAATTTAATTTATTAGATTTTTAGATTAAATAATTTATTTAAAAAATGAATATTTTTAAATGTAATTAAATATAAGTATTATTTAGTATCATATCTATCATTAAAAATAATCAAAATATTTCGTGTATAAATGTAATATGTTAAAAAATATAAAACACTTCACTCCATACTTCTGCATTCCAGATGTAATTGTAAATATTCATCGAAACGTATCGAAACTTCTACTTTATTCATGTAAGATGTGTTCCGTGTAATGTTAAGTATGTGTTGTTTCGGTTAATATATTTTATAATTTGTAAATGTTTATGAGTGTAGTAGAAGCAAAATGCTATTTAAATGTTCAAATACGCAACAAGTCCACTGCACTTGCTACACTGTGGCAGGAGACAAGCTATAAGGCAGCATATTGCTTTGATTTTGAAAATATGAATTTACTCGTACATTTAAGTAAAAATTAGAATATATTATAATTTAAGAACGAATTTCTTATAGCTGTGGAGTTATGATTGATTCTTTCTAATATGTTTCACAGAATCGATGTCTCCTGCTATAGAGTAGGACTTATCTGAACTTAAAACCCTTAAAAGTTATCACAATAGAACAATATGTCATATTTAGTTAAATATTTTTATATAACAACAATCTATCTTATATATCTTTTATACATTTTTTATTTTTATTTCAATAGCTGAGAGTCGAAATATGATATTTTTATTTATGAAAGATAGATATAACTTTTGTATGTTCTTCTGTGATAATGTTTGAGTGCAGAGCATCGTCCGGCACACTGGCACCGTACAGGTCACTCCACCGATATCAGATTTGTATACTAAGGGATTTTAGTGAATAAATTATTGACTGGTGCTTTCACAATAATTGTACGTTTTATTTAAACACCTTTCAACCAATCCGAAATATAATTTCTATGATTTGAATTATCTTTTAATGATTTTTAAATTTTATGTAAATAACTAGCGACTCAGACTCACTCTGTTCGAGTTTGTCCCTTAAGTTACGTTTTAACGGTTAATATAGATTTCTCAGAGATATGAGACTGATATTCGATAAATATTCTCCCGCAGTGTATCCTGTATGTTAACCCGGATAACCAGCTATTATCATACCAAATTTCATCGAAAACTGTCAAGTATTCTCGTGATGCGATCCGAGACAGACAGACATAAAATCTAAAAACTATAGATTCGGCGTCTGTATAGTAATAATGACTATTTCAATAAGATTTTCTTTGAAAAATTGCATATTTTTTGAAATATGCAATTTTTTTGGGTCTTAATTAAAAGGAGTTATTAGTAATTATATTTTTGAAGTTAGTTTTGACAAATTGTTTTATAGGATGAGAGCCATTACTACGAGTTTTGATATTAAACGTGACAGATTAACTATTGGTATTTTACATATATTTAACAACGCCGACAAACATACACCATAAACGTTAATAACATTATTTTTGATAGTTTGCGTAAAATAATTTAATACAAAAAATTCCAAGTAATGCAAATAGAATGAATAAAAATATATTATTCATCCACCGACCAGTTCCACTCAGCAAACGAACGACAAGATTAGGTGTACGTACACTTTTACAATTTTGTTTTAAGCTTTGTTCAAACCTAGAGTTCAAATTACGACTAATAATTAGTTTTAAAAACCTTAATTCACTAATATAGATTTTTATACTTTTTAACAAGTTTCGAACAAACACTAATTTCTATCACAAAAAAAAAACTTTCTAATGATTGTATAATTTATTCAATGAGTTATAAAAGAAAACAAATATTTATTTATCAATTGTATATTTGATATCAAATCTTAATACATATAACACAGCTTAACAAATTTGAAATATACACTAAACTACACATACGTAATTCATTATCGATGTAGCTATCGTGAGAGATGCGAGTGAGATCCAAACAATGTCTAGATATGAAGAACTTATTTAAAATGGTGAAAACAAACATTTTGTACAAAAAAAACATTACAATTTTATAAAATGTCAAATAAATACTAATCTTCTAATAAATAATAGGCCATAACATTATAACCCTTATATTATTCTTCATTCGGCTAAGATAACATTTTAAAATTAAAATCAGACGCTTATAAATGCCACTTTTGTATCGTGTCTCAAATGTATACAATTGGAAATCAAAGCATTATAGAGAGCTAATGCTCTTAGCGTTTCGTCTCGTTTATGAGGAATAGCTTGATTAGCCCTTGTTTACACCACGAATTCAACAGTTTTTAATGTAAATTATTTTATTTTCACACAAAATAATTCAATTCATTTAAAAAAAACATATCCTGTTTCATAAAAAAAAACCACAATTAAATTTGTTTTTTTTTTGCCAGTTTTCAGGTGTTACAATTAGAACAAACCAAAAGTATTTGGTAAATATTTTTAAAAGTGGATATAAATAATACACTAAAGATATAATTTCATCAAATCAATACATCTGTTAATTTCAGCTTACATAGACTAAAATAATAGAGTACAACTGTTTTTTAATATTATTATTAGTAAAATAACTTTTTGTCACTGGCTTGTTAAATATAAAATTAGTATTAGATTTCCACGTTTATTGTTTATAAAACAGCAATGATCATTATGTATAGCATTTTCCTGTATATGTTCTGAGTTGTAAACTATTATACCATCATATTCATTTCGATATGCTTACACATCAAATCTTACCTAAGGTTTGCAGTAGATTATTCGAATATTAGCTTTATTTAATACACTGTTAACATGATATATTTAGTTGTTATAATAAAACGAGCAAACAAGAACACGCGCGACAGAGCGATAGGTGGAACAGGGGGCATGGAGGGAACTTTTTAAAGGAGAAGAGAAAGAAGAGAAGGTTTTTTTTCTTTATAACTTTTTCGTACCGTCACAAACATTTGTTACATACATATCTATACTAATATTAAAAAGAGGTAAAGTTTGTGAGTTTGTACGGGGCAATCCCTGGATCTACTGAATCTATTTAGATTAAATTTGGTAAGAAGATAGTTTGTGACCTTAGGAAGTACATAGAATACTTTTTATCCCAAAAATCATCCTTAAGGGGGTGAAATTGGGGTTAAAAGTTTGTATGGCAATTCAAGCTAGTATTTAATAAACGTAAAGTTAAAAAAACAAAAGAGCATTATAAAAAGCGAAAAGGTGTACAAAAAGAAAAATTTCGCGTGACATATTTCGTAAATGGCCATAAAGTGTACATTAAGTTTATTTAATAAAAAATATTCGAATAACAAACTGCAAAGTCACCACAAACAGAGGACATCAACGACAACATGCAACACTTAGCGCTACACATCCAATAAACATAACGCAGCGGAGTCAGAGAGTGAACCAAGCTATATTACATTACACAATCGTATTGTCATTTTAATATAACTAATCGGACGTCTCTTTGATTTCATCTAGCTGACGTTCACATAAAAATACTCACAAAAACTAAAAAAAAAACCATTTCAATATTTTTAGTGATTTTTTTTTCATAAAATGGAAATTAAAAAAATACCACCATCACAATTTCATGGTAATTTTTTTGTAAATTATACTGGCAATAGTGTATGAAACATCAAACTCCATTATACAATATTACCGATAACATTTTCAATGTATTGTTATAAATACAAAATTCTTTTAATCTTTTAAATTTTAAATTGTTAACCTAAAACTAATAATAAATAACTTTTGTTGAATTTGAAATTTTTTGTAAATGAAGTTATTAGCTTTAACACTTCCCGTTAGATACATTTTTCAACTTTTTTTTACGATAAGTCCGACATCCATACTCAACTTTGATATCGTGGCAAGTAAGAGCAAGCGTGGGACGTAACGGCTATCCCTAGACTCGAGTGATGTTAACTAAAAACTAAATTAGTTTATTGCTAGTAAAAAAGATATGATTTTAGTTCAGATATGTTTGAACTATTCTAGATATTAAAATTTTGGTCCGAATTGTCATGTCTTGTTCATTTAAAATATTCTTAAAATAATATATTCGCTTTCATCATAAATAAAATGGTGGATAGTGTCAGAAAAATATCATTTAAATAGTGTACAAGTGTTATAGACATTAAAAGATTAAATTTATTGTATAGGTACATGTAAAGTTTGTAGAAATTAGAACAATGTTAAGTGAGATTGAGTTAAAACTACTTGCAATATCATTTCATATTATAGAGAAACGTATTATTAAAATATTAATTTCGATCCATCGTCATATACTAATACAATTTTTAATAGTTAATTTAAATATATACTCTCATAAGAGTTAGTGGCAGCTTCCTTAGTAATATAGGAAAAAGCGAACTTATATATCATTATATACGTTTAGAATAAAAAAAAAACTTCTAATATAAATAACAAAGATGAAATAAAAATATATAAAAAATCAAGAGCAGACTTATTAAACTTAATGAAATAAATTATTACATAAATCGCTTAAATTTAAAAGTAAGTAAGGTTAGAAATATTGGTAACGGTAAAGATATTGCCTTACACCACTAACCGTTCAATGTACAAATATTACTTCTAACATTCAAAAATGCTAAAACAAATCTGCAAACAGTCAAACGTTGACTAAAATGAGGCAAGATCGAACACGACAGTACGCCGGATTATATACACAGACTTCTAACATAACCAACTAATCTCTATAGACGTCCAGAGGCAAGAGTGCGGGTCGCGAGGGGACACACACGGGTGAGGCGCACCCGACTGACATACTTACTTTTATATGACAGTCGGGAAACGGCTTTAGGGTTGACGCAGATAACGGTCGGTAACCACAAAAAGTCACTACACTTTGAAGAAACCGCTTGCCATTAACTGACATTTATACGACAACCCTACAGTCGCCTACTCTATGGATTTTTATAGAGGTCCACTAATATGCACTAAGTGAGCTTATTTGTGCCGGAATGTGCATTTATATAGAGAAAAACACAGCCAACAATCTGGGTAAATTAATCTCACAATACTTTTTAGATCATATTAGTAGAATCCAATTGATATATCAATAAAAAATCTTTTCTCAGCTTTGATTATATTAATCAAAGTTTCTCACTCATAAATGTGGCCAATATAAACCTAATTAATAGTTATTACTGAAATAATAACTATATAAAAATCATGCAGTCATGTTTTTAAGGAAAATTATAATTTAGGTCGTACATAATCCGACGTCAAGTCTAATACAGTCACAAATGAATAACTACGTAACGATTCTACAACTCATAAATAAGTACTTGTTCTTATTGATAAGTTTACACTCGGTTCATGAATTACAAAAAAAAAAACATCGGCCCCACTAGGAAATCCTGTGAAACACACGCACATATGCTCAAGTCATGACAGTGACGTTGCCACAGGTAGGAATCGATCCCGCGATCTTTGTGAAATAAGAGTTGTAAAATGTGCGTTACGAATTGAACACATTTTAAAATTGCAGGCAAAATTCGGCATGCTTTATATTAAATTATCCATGTTTGTATTTTTAGACAAATACAAAAGGGTTTTTTTTTTTAATTTTAACATCAAACGTAACTTAGACTTAAAATAAACTACAATTCCGAGATCTTACATATCCAGTGTCATTTACACAATATTTATTTTATAATTCAAAGACATTTAATTGTTTTGGTTCGTAACATTTTCTAAGGCAGTACCGCCGTAAAATGCCGTTCAATTGAGTATTCAATACAGCCTTTTGTTGTTCTTTTATCATTTCTAGAGAGCCTTCAAAATAAATGGCAAAAGTGCTTGTGAAAGAAACGCTCAAGCGATTACACCAATTCCAAACAAAAGTAGTGCAATATAAACCTTGAGTAGAGAGTTAAATCTCCATTTGTGGAGATAACGTTTAAATGTTCCCATTATCGAAGCGTTCTACGATCTGTGTTGCGACTTGCTGCTTTGACCGATTGAAATTGTAAACAACCTACGAACTAATAAATTTTAAATGAATTTTATTAGTAATTCTTAGAAATAGATATATAAATAGAAATTCATTCAGTGTTCAAAATGAAAATAAAATATTATATTTTCCAAATAATTCTAAATTTCAAGAAATTTTTCTTTGTTCGTTGATGATCTACGATTTCAATAAAGGTCAATAAGTTCGCAAGACTGCCAGATCAAGTCCAAACACTAGTTGTTACAAAGATTGGAAGTAGGACGGCACAAATATATCCATTCTATTATATTATAGCAGACCCCTATCTAACTCTTTTCGCAGCATCCTTGTTAATTTGAGGACACCTTCATCTATTTGCCCTGAAAATAGTGAATCTAGAAGCTCACCTCGAGACGCGAGAGCGAATATTCCGGCGAGCCGCGACACCGACTTGTCTGACAGGTGTCGCTCCACTACTGACCTGCAAATTAGAAAATTATATGAAAAAATACTTTAAAGTTGTAAATATGATAAATGATATTTTTTCAAATATTGAAAATAAATGAATCTTTCATAAGCATGAATCTTAACATTTGAAATATTATTTAACACAATTAGTTTTATATGAAAGTTGAAACGTAAGATCCAGTAATCTGAATTTTATAAATATTTGAAACCATTCAAAAATTAATAACTAAACTAACTTGAGTGATTGATGTGACTCGCGAAGGGCATCCTGAAGAAACCCTCGGTCGTAGGAAAAGTCCACCTCGCAGAACGACACTATCGCCATCAACACCGTCTGTAAACCAATAAACAAACTTATTAATGTTTATCAAGAGATTGATATAATTTATTTAGAACTTTAAATTAATTCTCTCATTATTATTATTTACTAGCGACTTACCCTTGCTTCGCTCGGGTGCGACCCCGGGTACCTTTTAATTTTTTTGTAGCAGAACCTTAATTCTTTTTGTAAAATAAAAATAGCCTAAGTTACTCCTTATAACATCAGCTATCTGCCAGTGAAAGTCTCGTCAAAATCAGTCTCGCCGTTTCGGAGAAAGCCGGACAGACAGACGGACAAAATTTAAAAAAAATGTGTTTTTCTTAAAAGTGCGGTATATAATTTCATATGGATTTGACATCACAAACAGACACATCAATTTTATTTATCTGTATGTATAGATTAAAGAGACTTTAATTATTTGTATACTCGTTATCGTCGTTGCGTATTTGTGACGCGAGGTGGATATGTTATAAAAATAATTATTATACTTAGAACAATATTACAAAGTAACTTTCAGTATCGATATTATAAATGAATGTAAGTAACAATATTATGAAGGCTGTTATTAAACAGATAATAACGTATATACATACAGTATATGTATTATTTTATCTATATATAGTGTACTCAGATATACTATAAACAAATCTTATAATATTAAATAAACAATTGTTGTATATTATATTTTATTTCGTGTATCTCGGAAACTGCTCTAACGATTTGCATCAAATTTTGTCTATAGACTATACATAGCTCTCTTTTCTAAAAAAAATTCAGTTTTTATATCTTCTCCAAAAAAACACCGTACGAATCTCGGTCATCCAAGTACTGATATTTTAATTTGTAAATAATATTATTAATATGTAAAAGTCAAGTTTCATACGATTGTTTTTTTTTATTTCTACTTATAATATTTAAATAACTCTGATAGTAAATATAAACTTTTATTTTGATAGTCAAGAGTTCTATGTTCATTCTGAAAAGTACTGTATCTGTTGCCTGCCTAAATGAGCACCCTATTTCAGTTATCCAAAACGCCTTTCTGCTTTTCATGACGTTCTCTCCTTCATCTTCATTCATATTTTACTAACTTTTGCCCACAACTCTGCTCGTGTATCATCATAGCGGGCTATATGTTTAATAAATAAAAAATGCAAAAATAAATCTAATCGAACTATTACTTCAAAACGTAATAATAAACAAATTTTACATTTACCTAATCATTATGTATTCAGCCCTTTTCAACGTCCCACTGCTGGGCACGGGCCTCCCTTCAATACGATGGGGACCAGGCCATAGTCCACCACGCTGGCCAAGTGCGGGTTGGCGGACTTCACATGTCTTTCGAAAACTTGCTAGGTTCTCTCAGACATGCAGGTTTCCTCACGATGTTTTCCTTCACCGTAAGGCAAGCGGTAATCATGTTAGAAATGATTCGCACATGAAAATATCAGAGGTGCGAGACCCGGGATTTGAACCCGCTTCACTCGGTGTCCCAAGCGAGCGCGTTACCACTGGGCTACCACTGCCTTTTAACCTAACCTAATCATTAATAAACATATAACAATACATAGGAATTCTTATAAGTACTTACGTGAAATTTAGCACGAAATGCACCCAAGGCGCGCTCGTCCGCGGGCGACAGCTGGCCGTGCCGCCGCAACACTCCCAGCTTCACCGCCGCCTTGATCACATGCTTCACTAACTTTTCCGCCTCCCTTTTTTCTACACGTTCACGTAACACACATAGGAACTGAAAGAAGGTGATAGAAAATTGTATTTTCAAATCTAAATACATTAAAGGGTTCATTATGGACAGATTTCATCTATTAGACATTTTTTGTGAATTGCGTTTCTCCTGTAGTGGGCACTTTAACGTTATCAACTATTGCATCAAACCCCTAGTCTATCATAAAAAAGTGATACTGTTAACTTTTTTCTCTAACCAAGTGCTCATATATCAATTTTTACATTTCTAACGTCAAAAATGACAAAGATTCATACAAACTTTCATCCCACCTTTTTTTTACCCCATAGGGGATGAATTTTCAAAAATTTAAATTCAGGAACATTGTGCAAAATTTCATACTTCTAGACCCAGCGGTTCCAGCTGTGCGTTGATTGCGTACGTTAATGCGTCAGTGAATCAGTCAGTTTCTTACTTTATATATATAGATAGAAGACAGAAGAAGATACCTGATCTAGAAGTTTAGCGGCGTGTTCGTCTAGCACGAGCGCGCGCGCGCTGGCCGCGCCGCCCACTCGCGAGAGGAACTTCTTCTGCGCTCGCAGGGAGATGTCGCGGGCGCACCACGCGCCGCCCTCCATCGCTGGAGACAATACAAGTGTCATTCAATAAGTGTTTATTAAAAAACTAATATTTCATTTAAATTGTATATACTATGTAGGTATATGAATAGTGAATACCGTACACCGGTTACATGAAACATGTTAACGGTGAAGGAAAATGTCGTAAGGAAACCTGCATGTCTGAGAGAACCTAGTAGGTAAGTTTTCAAAAGACAATGCTCAGTCCGCCAACCCGCACTTGGCCAGCGTGGTGGACTATGGCCTGATCCCCCTCGTAGTGAAGGGAGGCCCGTGACCATACATACATGAACATTTTTATTTATATGAATAATATTATTTAGTATAATAATATGTTTGTGTTATTCCACTCTTTTACTAACTTCTGTTTGGTAGTGTTTAGATCTAGGTCTTGTCATCGTGCAATTAACCATATTTTGAGTTCAATAGCTTCAGCTGTTTTGAACACTAATTCAATTTAATCTCTTGTTAATAGCTTCAAAGCGTGCCAGTTAAGCACAGATTACTTCACCAATGTCACGTAGAATGGAGACGACGCGAAGGAGTTTGGTCGGTAAAATAAAATTATTAGACTATACTAATTATGAAATATTAATTAAAAATAAGTCCTAAATATTTTACAGATATGTTAGTGTATAGTCTAAATCCGTTACACTTAATATATTTACAAAGAAATTTACGTACAGGACTAAACACAAATCAAATCTCTCAACATAAACATTTAACATCAATGGGCCAGAGGACTTTATCATACATACCAGGACATCATAAATAGGATGGAGGAGTCTAGGACAGCTAAAAAGGATATGAGAGGGAGTACCTTCATCAAGGCTCGCATAATCATATCGGGAATGACCCCTGACCCTAATCTTCTAATCTAGGTGCACAGGTGTATACTGTCACTGTACATGCCCAAAGCGCAAACGGCAAATGGCAGTTATGACCCAACGTTTAAACTTAAAATGACAACTTTGTAGATTAATTAAATATCAGCTAAAAATTTAGTTTAAAAAAATCCATACATCTAGTAAAACAGGTAGTACCTACTTATTTTGCTGCATTCTATTAAATTTAATCTCAAAAATTATAACAAGAAAGGCATTTAATAAATATATATTAATATATATATAATAATAGTAAATATATTTATTCAATATAAAACACGTCGTTTAGATATATTCCTTCACTGCGTGCTAGCACGCTAAACGCAGCGTGTACAGAATTTATTTCAATTCGCTACGACAATGGCCAATTTGATTCTAATTGAATCTGTCTGATATAGGACAGTTCGCTCTACGAGACTCGTTTTATTGTAAAAATGTGTGTCGAACAACAAACACGCTGCTTTATTTGAAAAAGATATTTAAATTCCAAAGACGTGCATAGTTCGAATTGTCAGGAAAAATATAACCTATATTTTACCAACATGAAGTTACGATTTTAATTACTATTAAATTTTTGTTCCATAAACCGTCCGTGGTAGTACCGAGTACGGCTATAATTGAATTCCAGTTCAAACAGTTACACCAATTGCCAAGTTGATAAATCTATATCTCTTTATGATGTTTTCGGTATATATCAATGTAAAAAAATAAATTCCATTCCCAATATTGCAGCAATATTGCAGTTATATATTTTTTTTTTGTTTGTGTTATAGTGGCATATATGCGAATAGGAAAATCGATTCAGCCCCATTGTATTTTCTAAATAAATATTTAAATCGAAACTGCTATCTATAGTTACTGACAATGTGACTGACCATGTAAAATAACTAAGCATAGGATCAATAACAGCAATATAAATTTTTTTTTATTAATATACAAAATGTTACTTTTAAAATTTATGTCTAAACATATTCGTATTATTTGAAACATTACTAAATATAAATTAAAAAAAAAAACAATTATTTTAATAGGCGGGTCAATTAAGGCGTCGTTTGGTCTAATTAAGACACGTGAGTCATTTCAAAACAACATTTATAATAACAGGAGAAGCGCATGTTATTGGTCACGTGCCTTACAGACAAATATGTGGAATGAAAACACCTACACAAAACTTAAACAGTAACATAACACAAATAGGCATACAAATAAATAGATACAAATCCTATAGTATGTACATTGTACATCTATACCTACATTCAATAAAATACTGAGTCGAATCTGTACATTAAATATTTTTTGGAAAATCTTATTGAAATAGTCATTATTATCGATACAGAGGCCAAATCTAGTTTTTAGAATGTTTGTCTGTCTGTCTGGGAACGCATCACGAGAAAACTACTGAACGGATTTTGGTGAAATTTGGTATAATGATAGCTGGTTATGCGAGTCAACATATAGGATACTTTTTAATGCGGGAAAATATCTCATATCTGAGTATTTATACTAAACCTTAAAACGTAACTAAGGACAAAACCGGGCGGAGCGAGGGTGAGTCGCTAGTATAATAATAAATACTGTTTAAGAAATTAAAAAATTCAAGTTAGAAATTAAAGGTATATATAATTAAGTAACAAAATATTTAAGTAAGTATTCTTGACGAGCCGTGTGGTTAAATATCATTGTATGCTCAAGGGTACGTACATAACTAATACAAATAATTATATTTCAGAGTTATAGACAAAATGAACATTACCTACCCTATTAAAAAAAGAAAAACACCGGCATTTGTCTCGCAAATATTTATAAAAATACCTCCTACCTACCTCCTACTTGTGTTTTTTTATTCCTAGTATAATTAGCGATCAGTATTTTGACTATAAACAAATCTTTTGAGAGATTACTGTCATGTGAAGTTGATCCTCATTAGGATCTAAACTCATTCATTATTCAGGCTAGAATTATAATGCTAGGTCTAGTATGGCTTTTCTTTTGAGACGTTTATCATCCAGAAGTCGTTGTGCTAGGATGTTAGGGGATGTTAGGGTGATTAGCCAGGAGCTTTCTATATTGGCAAGCCAAACTACAAACTTCCTCTTTCATCTTAGGCACGTGTAAATTGAATTTCGTCATTAGTAATAAAACCACGGTACATTGTACATATATATTAAACGTGTGTATTTTGTCTTCAAACTCAAATAAGACAAGCTATAATAGAAACTTTTCCGAAATTTCGATTACGGGTTCGATTCCCATTACAGAACCGGTTATTAGCATATATTCCATTTTATATCTTTTATTATAATATCATATCTAAGTACGGTAAGAAAAATGTATAAAATGTAATAATCTTTAACCTTATCTTTTAGTCTGAGTATAAGGATACAATAAAAGATTACAGGCGATTTTAGCTGGTTATTTATATCGACAAAAGGTTAGAGACCTTTTTCCAGACAAGCAATAATGCGATTTTAATTTGCATATGATGAATTTACCATCCCCGAGCAGGAAAGGTTAATGGCATGAAATCAGGTAAGAGTAGAGAACCTATTAGTTTATTCAGAATAGATTTTGTCATATTTCTAGAATTTTTTGGATTTAGGGTTCATTTTCTTTTATGGTTCTACATATGGTTCGTCTGTGTATATATTTGTATTTAGTTTACATCCGCTAAGTAGCGATGACCCCAGCTTTATCTAAATGCAAAACCGTAGAAAATGTTGAGCTTTTTTTTAAGTGTACTCTACCAATTGAAATTATACGTAACTATTTTTTACAAGCTTTTATTTTACTTATATCTATAGTTTGTTCTAAGGTTCATCATGGCCTGTTTGCTGTACACGGGGTATAAGAGATCTCCTCAGTAGTCAACGGTACAGACACTAAATCTTGCATACGCATTAAATTATGATTCAGTTGACTAAATTAGTGAACCCACACCATAGTTTGTAAATAAAAAAATATATAAATAAATTAATAGTAAAAAAACGTTTAAAATACAAAAAAAAAAACAATTAATAATAAAAAATATATAATAAAAATATATCAAATTTCCATCGCTACTAAGAAATATAGGTGAATATAATAGATATGTTATTACGATTCACTTTAAAACAGTTGATTTGGTTTCTCTGGTAATTACAAATTAATTACATTTCAAACGACTTTTAACCACTAATTTAAAATATAATATACATGTAAAATATAAAATATAATATATATGTGTTTAACCCGGTTAAAGTATCGTCATTTTGTAAAACGTATTATCTTTTAATATAAAAGGAAAATTTTATTTTAGCCTTTTATTTAGCCTGAAAATGAATAGATAAAGACATATTGAGTGGTGAGCGTATGTTACTTATTATAATTAAATTGTGTCAAGAACGTTAGATATTCGTCGCAAGGCCATATTGTAAAAAAATAATAAAGTTTATTGTCATGAATTGTGTTTTATTGAAGTGAAAACTTCTATAGGCAGGTTTGGATGGGCAGTAAAGCCATGTAAGTCGTCATAGACATGGTCACGTGACGTGTTAACGCTAACACTCAAGAGTGCCGATAGATGTTAAAACCAGAAAGATGCAAACAGTTTTAATTTACAAATTTTAATTTAATATCAAACAATTAATTTGAATATCCAAAAATAACAACTGTTTGTTTATAGTTTTAAGTTTTCACTTCTGTCGGCAGTCCTCATGACTGGTTTTTTTTAATACAACAATGATTTAATGTACAGTATATAGCGTGGGTTATTTATTGAATATAATTTTTAAATATTTCTTTTAAACTTGAACTGAAAAAGAATCAGTAAGTGGTAAGTAGGTACTGCAAGCTTACTGCATTAAAAGTGCCAGAAAATACGCTATCACTAAGTGACTCATGCGATACTGTTAAAACAACGAAAATTCAAACAGTGACTAATAAATACCGTGCAAAGAAGCTCTGGCAGAAGTTTGAAACTCTCTATAATTAAGCGAATTTATTTATCAACTAGCGACTCACTCTCGCTCCGCTCGGTTTCGTTCCTACTTACGTTTTAACATTAGTAGATTTCTCACAGATGAGATATTTTCCCGCGGTAAAAAGTATCCTATATGTTGACTCGGATAACCAGCTACCATCATACCAAATTTCATCAAAATC